CCACCATGAAGCCATTCCAGTACCTGGAAGAAGTGCACATCTCTCATGTGGGACAGCCTATGCTCAACTTCTCGTAAGTCTGGAGGCTTGGCTGCGTTGGCAGCAACATTTGGATCACAGCAGGTGTGGCTGCAGGGAGATTTGTTCATATTTCTATTCCAGTTCCAAGTAAACAAGTTTTCATTTACCAAACAAGACGGTGTAATCACATGTGGCTGGGTGGCCTGATTTGTTTGTTTCCCTTTAAAACTGCTGATAAATGGGTGTGCTGTTGTGACGTGCCCAGAGCTGCTTGCTTGCAGACTGTGAAGATTTACCAGCCTAGAAGTACCACAGGGCTTTTCAGAAGTGAGTTCACACCTCTGTTGTTGCACCTATACAGGGTCACTGTGACAGTGGCAGAGTGTGCAGTTCATGTGCCCTGCCAGCCCTTAGGGTTATGTGCACCCCAAACAGCCCCATCCTGGACTCAGCCATCGCTGTTGTTTGGGCAGGTTCAGCACCTGTCCTTGAAAGGTCTGCTGTCCTTCCACATTAATGTGGTGTGCTCCAGTGCATGTGTTAGGCAGAAGATGTGCAGTCCCTCTGGCCAGAGAAGACACTGTTCCTGTTGCCAGCGGTAGCTGTTTAATTAGAAATGAATCCTCAGGTAATGGTGTTATCCTAGAACTGCTATCACTCTGCTTTTCAAGCTGCCACTTACGGATATAGATGAAGGAGCTGTGCTGTGGCTCCCGAGTTTGTCTGCTTAAAACTGGTCCTCAATCTTCACCTTCAAAAAAACTGGAGGAAAATTAAATCAAATGTTCAACAAGCAGGATGCTGGGCAGGCAGCCGAACTGTATGGTGGCAAGTAATTGTTCAGGCACTGAGAACTGCTTTAGTTCAGTTCCTTCCCATTTGGAGTCTCAACGATCCCAGCATGATGCACGGCTCCATAGGCTGCACTGGCTGCAGAGCACAGCTGGGCTGCCAGGACAGCCCTCAGCATGGATGCAGCCTGCTGCAGCAGCTTGCCTCTGCCTCCTTCTCACAAGAGGGTGAGGAGACGGAAATGCGAAGACAAATGATGTGAAAAGAAAGAGATGAGTCTGGAATATGTGAGCCATAATACACCAGTGGAGCAGACCATTGCATTATGCAGCTATCAGTGCGTTTAAGTTGCTGTTTAATTCAGTCCCCTGTGTAGATTCAGGAGTGCTAATGTAATTTATGATCGTGTGTAATAATACATAAATAACAGCTGTGATATTGATGACCTAGTATGCAGCTGTAAGGCATCCTGAAGATGCCTAGGTAGGCATCTGAGCTGATTTATTTTGCTCTTCTTTTTGAGGTGGGGAAGAAATAAGTGTGCAGTGTTAGTGCCTGTGGCAAGTAACGTACAAGGAAGAAAAAGGCTGCCAGATTTAAAAGCTTAATAAAGGTGATATTGCAAGGCTAGATGTTTATTTGAGAGAAGGAAGGTTTTGAGATGGAATACACCTTCAGCATCAGTGCTGTGTCTTACTGTAACCCAAGGGAGTTTCTGAGCTAGCTCTTAGAGAAAATCTGAAGTCTGAACTTACATAACAGGTTCCACTTATTTGGGACCTAGATGTGTGTGTGTGAAGGGGCTGTCCTCTTACACGCTCACATTTTCTTACCATGAAGGATGCTCAGCCTCTTACTCTACAAATAACACTGCAGGCTGGCTTGTGTGGTTAAATGCAATGTGGTTTCCTCTAAGATGAAACCAGGCCAAAGCCTGTATTTGCAGTGCAGCAGTACAGCAGCTTTGGTGTTCTGATCTCCCCTCAGATTCAATGCCTTCCATCCGGACACCAGGAAACCAATGCACCGAGAATGTGGATTCATCCGCCTCAAACCTGACACTAATAAGGTGGCCTTCATCAGCGCCCAGAACACAGGTACTGCCTCTCTGGGGAAGAGGGAGGCCTTTGTCCTGCTGTGCCTTTCATCACTCTTCCTCTTTAGCAGTTTCTTTTCATGTATTTTCACTGTGGGTTCAGCACCTCCGTCCTGCTGTTGATGAGCGCCACGTTGCTGGGACTGGCTTAGCCCAGCCAGCAAGGCTTTGTGGCTGTCTCAGTCAGGAAGGGACCACAGATCCAAATACCACACATGCACGAGATGGGGGCACCCTTTCCTAAAATAGTATGCTGATATTTGCAGGCATAGACTTTGAAAACAAAGGAACCCTTTGATTCGTGCCAGGAGTTGCAGTCTCAGCCTTAATGATGGGCTGTTATAAGGAGCCAGTGGCATTCTTGTTGCCTTTGTGGCATCCAGGTCTTTTTGTGCAGAGAGAAGGGAGGAACGTGTACAGATGAGCTGCATCATTCCCACTCTTCACATGAGATCTTAAACTAGGAGAATTTTCCCACTGTTTGGAAGTAGTGCCTCACTGTGCACTCACAGAGACCAAATGAGAGACAGAACTACATCTACACTGTTGTGAGTGAAGAAATTTCAAACCCAGCTGATGCTTAAATTTGGATCTAAGACCACAGAGCAGGTGCTGAATGGAAAATTGCCAGTTGCAATGTGATACTCATCCCACACTGAGAGTAAGTCTGGCTGGGGCTTCCAAGTAGCGTTATGTTTCTGAGGTTGCATGGATTTGCAGTTGTTGATACGTGCTAGATCAAGGAAAAACGTTCTTTGTCTGTGTAGCCTAATAATTGTGACATTTTGTTAATTAACCTTTGTTGCCTGGTATTTATGACTTCGCTTTCTCATTAGGTCTTGTGGAGGTGGAGGAAGGGGAGGTGAATGGTCAAGAGCTGTCTATAGCTTCTCACTCCATAGCCAGGATCTCCTTTGCCAAGAAGCCCCATGTAGAGCAGGTGAGTTCACGCTCGGTCAGCGATTCAAATCATCATGTTAGCCCAGGGGTGTCTGTTTGAGAGGGCAGGTTGATTAACACACTTTCATTACAGATTGCCTCAGGTGCTCTTGGAAATACTGCACAGCATCCTTGCTTATCTTCTCTTTAAGTTTTCAGAAGCCGTTTCATAGCTTACAAGATGAAAAGGGATCACAGATAAGAGCTGCCATGCTGAGTCAGAGCAGCCAGCTACAGCCCTGTCTCCACCGTGGCAGCAGCAGGTCCTTATGGAAGAAGATAGGAAAGTCTTGTCTAAACAGCAGCACTGAGCCCACAGGAAAGGGCTTCTCTTTACAGAGTCAGCCACAGATCAGCCCACTCTGCAGATATGGATCTCTGCCACACTGATCACACGTCCTTTCCAAGATTGCCTTCTGCAGCTGTGGGACACAGAGCACCCTGTGTCTGTTCTGATAGTCATCGTGGATTTCCTCCTTTGCTGTCATGACATCAGAACAATTTGCATATGCACTGATATTGCTACTGATAACGGGTCAAACCAGGCTGTTCAGCAACCTTTAATTTGTCTTTTCCTGTTTCAGGAAGCAGTCAGGGCAAGCTGAGGGTGGGTTGATAAGGCCAAGGTGGTCTTAAGAGAGCAGGAGCACCAGCTGTGTGTTTGGCAAGCATGGGCTGCTGAAATAGGAGGGGATGTGTTACTGCTGGTGTTAGGCACATGTTGCATCTGTAGAAACAGATGTGTTAATGGGGCAGGATGCTGGTTTAGAGCACGCAGACTGGCAGCAGCTTGTGGATGTGCCCTTGAGTCACCTTCATGGGAAATGAACATGTCTGTGAAAGCCTCCTTTCCCTTCCATGTCTTCAAGACCAGCTGAAATCCTGGAGCAGCAGGGATCCTGGTGTCTTCCTGCTGGCCTTCCCCTGGCACAGCTGGGTGGATCACCCCGGTGGTGGTGTGAACGTGGCACTTTGGAAAGGCTGTTGGTTTTTTAGCTGTTAAGGTGAAAGGGAGCTGGTCAGAGCAGGGGTGTGTACACTTCAGTATATCCACTTGGCAAAAGCCTTATGGTGAGGCAGTTAGAGAAGTGCTCTGTGAATCCATGGGGTGCTTTTCGACCACAGTCTCCTAATGATCTTTACTTTCTTCTTTCTTGTAGAAATTTCTAAATGGAGCTGGTTTAATTAACTGCCAGTTAATCATACTTGCAGGTCATCCTGCTGTCCCTAAGAGCTGGGCAGATGGAGCAGTACTCTTAAGTATTATTTTGAACCAAGAGCTGAGATTTACAATGGCCCCACTTCTCTTCCTTATTACATAGACGCCTAAGAGCAGACTTAACAACATGTGCTAAGCCCAGATCTGAACACAGCCTGAGCAGCTTGGAAGTGGCTGATATCAGGGTTCGAGCTTCTGCTTGCACAGCTCCTGGGCTTCGTAGCTCCGCAGGGTAACCACAGATTGGTTCTGGGGAGGGAGGTTTAGTGCAGTATGAGCAGTGCAAGGAGGAGTGGGGGAGACACTGCTGGTTGTCGGCCTGTCTGTAGGAGGGGGTGGCTGTAATGGTGCCAGGCAGTGTAACACAGAGATCTGCTGCTTGGCTGTCCCACAAAACACCTCACCGAGAGCAGCCATGGCTCCAGCAGACAACTTTTAGTGAGGAATGCAGTTTGCTTGATCTATGAGATATTTCTTTTCTTATCCCTTTCTCAGATTACCAGAAAATTCCGTCTCAATTCCGATGGGAAGCTAGAACAAACAGTCTCCATGGCGACCACTACACAGCCCATGACGCAGCACCTCCACATCACCTACAAGAAGGTGACACCCTGATGCCAGGAGGGCCAGGGTGAGGAGCTGGGCAATGCGCCCCGGGAGCAGCAGTGGCTCGGGGACGTGGGATGGTGAAGGCTGGAGCCAGGTACCTGTGCTCAGCCCCGGCCGTGCGGAGCTGCCCATGCTGGTGAGAATGTTAGCGGATGTTCCTGTAATGGTATATATAAAAAAATAATAATAATAATAAAAGCTTTTATTTTTACGGCTGTGTTTTTGGGTGTGATTGCTGAGTGGTCTTTGAGGCCTTCTGCGCTGCAGGTGGGGCCTTAGGATACTTAGAATCATGGAATCATTCAGGTTGGAAGAGATCAGTGTTTGTCAGTATGCTTCAGGGGTAGAAAGGGCGATGGATTCAAGCTTCTGTTTATTGTCTGACTGTGCCACAGAAGCAGCAGGATTAGGAATGGGTTTGCATTATAGGGATCAACTGTGAGACCTCCAGCTCCTGCCTGATGTAGCTCAGCTCACGTATTCACACACCTCTTACTGTGTGACAGAGCTGGAGCAGGACCAAGAATGAGCAGAGCTGGATGATCTTCAAGGTCCCTTCCAACCTAAGCCACTCTGTGACTCTATGACCTGCTCCCCCATGGACTTTGAAGGCTGTTGGGTCAGGTCCTGCAAGAATCCTGTTTCTCACAAAGGGTGATACAGGCCCAGAGGCCAGAACCAGACCTCTGGCTTCTGTGCAGAATGCTGCAAGAGTACAGGTGAAGACTTTGAGTCACAGAGCAGCAAAAGAAACTTTAAACAGTGGGGACTGGGAGGTGAGAGAAGGGGCTCCCCAGAGCTCACAGTGCAGGAGATAGTTGTAGGGGTGGGTAAGGATGAGAAAGGGATTTATCTTGAGTAAACATCTGTGATGTAGTATATGCAATGGATGAATTTTGTCTTTTCAGACAGATCTAAATTCAGGGTGCCTGCTATTGCCATCTGAAGGATTCTAAGTGGGAGCTCTGTGGAAGGCCTGGGGGTTGCAGTGCCCTTCTAATGGCTGCTTCCATTCATGTCTGGTTTGCGCCCATAGCTTCCTTACAAGCCAAGGTCAAAGGCTTGGCCAAAGGTTGTGTGACTGTAAGGGTCCTGGTGGGCACTAAGGTGGGCAGCAGGGTGCTCAAGCTTGCTTCTGTCCATCTTTGGTCCCTGAGCTGCCCAGCTCCATCTCTGCTGTGCCTGGGTTGGTGGCAGTGGTGCCCTCAGAGCGCTGTCCTGCTGGGGGGCCGGAGGCTGGCTCTGTAATGGATCCTCACCAGGTGGTTACCGTTTAGAGGCTTTGATCTCCTGCTGCTTCATTTTTTTTCCAGCCCCTCGATTGAATTTCTCTCATGTAACCGAGCTCCACTGATATATTCTGGCCATATATAATGGATGGAGGTTGAGTGAGGAAACAAAAACAGCGCTGAATATCGGGAGCAGCCATGCGGGTCCTGCAGTCGGACCCCCTCCCTGCCACCGCCCCACAGGTGTGTGCAGTTGGGCACAGGGTGCCTGCACTCACATCCAGCCCTGAGCCGGCCTTGGATTGTGCATCGCTTGACCTGGAGGTTGGTGCAGTGGATACGTCAGGACGGTGGGTGCCGGGCTCCATCCCTCCTCCATCTCCACATCATCCTATTGATCCTAAAGCCCATCAAGGCTGTGCCAGCACTGCTGTATCAGCCGCATCTTTGGCTCCTGCAAGGCGGGTGGTGAGCCGGCGGCCGATGCCGGCCAGCACATTTGCTTCACTAATGAGGCTCCTTCTTTTCAAGGGCTTTGAGATAACAACCTGCGGTGTGAGCAGCAGCACTGGGATCCAGTTGCTTGTTTTTTGCCCAGGACGGGGTGCAGGCAGCACAGTGCTCCCGGCTCCATGTTCCTGGGGGGCCGCCCTACCCCCCATTCCCCCCAGCTCCGTGCAGGTGAGAAGCACCCCGCTCTGCAGGACGGGCACCCTGGGATGAGCCTGCACCGCTGAGCCCCATCTTCTGCTGCAGCCCTGTGAGCACTGCCTGTGGCAGCGAGCCTCGAGGTGAGTGAGTGCTGGGAGAAGGGATGGGGAAAAAGAAGGGCTGGTGGTGGAGGGGAGCACAGCCTCACGTGGCTGTGGATAGGGGGGTCCCTGTCTCTGTGGGCATCGTGGGTGTCCCCCAGGATGTCCACCCACACAGACCCTCTGTGCCCTGGGGCAGCTGCTGTCCCTGCAGTTCAGCCCGAGGCAGGCATGGGAACACTGCTGCTGGCACCCGCCCAAGCGGATCAGGAAAGTGTCTGCAGTGGGGCCACTGCTGGGCAGGTGAGAAGGTAGCCAGGAAAGGTCTTGCCCAGCCTCCTGCGCCTCAGCCGTGTGCAGGGTCAGGCTGGGTTGCAAACCCTGGACATGCAGAAATGCAGAGTTGCTGCTGGGGTGGGGCTGTGCTGCTCTGCAAAGAGCCCTCCTGAGCACAGCAGTGCTGTACACCATCGCAGCTACCCCAGGCCCAGCTCCCCTTCTCTGCACTCCCCAGGGCTGCCAGTGAGGGTGTCTGCTGTGCCCAGGAGCAGAGCACCCAGCCAGGGCCATGCTGCAGTGTGGGCTGCAGGAGCTGCAGGTCCTCCCTGCGGGTGGATAGACACCAGGAGCACAGGGCTGTGTCAGCAGATGCGCTCACAGCTTTTCCTGGTTCTCCGCATCTAGCTGTGAGTGCTTTGCCTAGCATAAATGTCTGAACACATTTCTCTGCCCTCACTCCTGTGCTGGTTCTGCAGTCTCTCCCAGCAGAGCGGGGATGCAGACTCCTCTTCCATCCCACAACATGTCCCCATACCCCTGTCCCCACAAGGTCCCAGACACGAGGGTGATGCAGCCCAACGAGCCACCGCTGCCTGAGCTGAAGCTCCGCAGACCCGTTCAGCGGGGCAGGATCCCGGCGCCCTTCATGGACCCGGTACGTCACCGCACCGCTCCGCCATCCCGTGCTCGAGTCCCTGGCCTTCCCCTTTGCACCAGGCAGGCCCGGGGAAACCGTGCTGCTGCACAGGGCACGGCAGCAGAGCCGGCAGCACCCTGGAAAGACCCCCACGGCACCACCGCAGTGGACCCTCTGGATGTGGACGCCTTGGTGCCCACGCATGACGAGCGGGGCCATGCCATCCCTGAGTGGAAGCGGCAGGTGATGGTGCGGCGGCTGCGGGCACGGCTGGCGGATGAGGTGCCCGTGTGTGATGAGGTAGGGCCGGGCTGTGGGTGGGACACAGCTGGGTCCCGCGTGTCTCTGCATCCTGATGGCTTCCTGCCGCAGGAGCCAGGCACCTGGCGTTTCTCACCGTCCCACGAGGCCGTGCTGGGCCCATTTGGTGAGCTGCTGACCGAGGCTGACCTACAACAGCTGGAGAGGGCGGTGGAGAGCCTGCGGCTGCGGCGCCGAGGAGAGGCCTACCAGGACGAGCTCCAGCGCCTGGCGCAAGAGCTGCGCACCTTGCTGCCCTCCCCGCTGCTCAGCATCACCGTTCACAGCCCTCCTCCCGCCCCAGGGCAGCCCTTGCCGCTCTGGTGCGGCCGCCTGGCCGGTGTGGTAGGCAGCCTGGAAGCGCTGTTGGCCAAGGCCGAGGGGGCTCGTGGCAGCCCCGTGCCTGCCCCGCTGCCCGCACCGCTCCCTGCAGCCCCGCGGACGCCGTCGGGCAGCGTGGCACAGCGGGAGATCCGGCAGTGCGGGGTGAGCGTGAGCAGCCTGCGCGGGGCCTTCGAGCGGCACGGCGGCGGGGAGAGCGAGACCGCAGCGGTGGTGGAGGCCGCCAGCGACTCGGGGATCAGCTGCGAGGAAGCGCCGTCGGAAGGCAGCGGCTCACCGGTGCCCGAGTCAGCCGGCCTGCGCAAGGAGCGCATCGTGCTGCTCTTCCTCAGCCATTGGAAGCGCTCGGCCGGAGGCCTCAACGCTTGGGCTGCGGCGTGCCGGGCGCTGCAGGCTCAGAGGGAGAGAGCAGGCGCTCCGGGCGAGGAGCAGGCGGGCAGGAGGGGCCGCCTGTCGCGGCAGTGCAGCGCCATCCAGCAGCTCCTGGGCAGCTGGAGGGACGTGGCCGCCTGCCCCCCGCCGCCGCTGCCCCCCGCTGCGGGCAGCCCCCGCTCCCCGCTGTCCCCCGAGCAGTTTGTGCGGCGCGCCGACGGGACGCCGGCCGACTACGACAGCCTGACGCTGGAGCTCTTCATGCTGGGCTACTTCCGCATCCTGGAGCGGGAGCTGCCCCCCGAGGAGCGCCGCGGCCGCCACCTGCTGTGCTTCGAGGTGTTCGACCACCTGGGCCGGCACGGCTGGGACACAGCGCGCGCCTTCCACCGCGCCGTCACCGACGAGATCGCGGCCGGCCGGCGGGGCTGGGGGGACGGCTTCGAGGACATCAAGGAGCGCTTCTTCGGCACCGCCAAGGGCACGGCCTGGAGAGCGGGGGGAGCGGGGGGCAGCCCCCCGCAGAGCGCAGCCCGCCGTGGCCGCAGCAGCCAGGAGGAGATCTGCAGGTGCATCGACCGCAGCTTCGCCTTCTGGAAGGAGAAGGAGGCCGAGATCTTCAGCTTCGAGGAGTGACGCCTCACGACGCCCGTGGACGCCCCCTCTGCGCTTCTCAAAGGGCCTCAATAAAAGCGTTTCAGTTTTGTCTCAAAAAAAAAACCTCGAGATATTTTGGAGTGATGGAGGACGCCCTGCTGAGTGCCCCGGCGCCGTGGAGACCCGGCTGCTCGGTGCCGGCTGCTCTGTGTCTGCTGCCACCCGCTGTGCTCCACCTCGGGGCCCAGATACGAGCCTATATTTAACAGCTAGCCCCAGGCGGGGGAATGGGTCGCAGCCATGTGCTTGGATAGCACAGGGGTCTTTCTGGCCCCTCCTGGGCACACGCAGCAGCACGGTGCTCTCAGTAACCTGGGAGGGTGATTTCCCCCTCTGCACCCTTAGGTGCCCGTGGTGGCAGCAGGCAGCTCTGCTCCAGCGGTGCCTTTAAGAGCACTGTCCCCGCCCCGGCTAAAAATACCCCCCCAGCTCAGCCCCCGCCACCACCCCGCGTGTCCCTCCCGTGCCCTGCCACTGCCCTCCCTGCTGCATGGGACACGGCGCGCTCTGAGAGGGGCACAGCCCAGGTAGGAGTGGGGTGGGAGTTGGAGGCTCAGCAGGGCCGGGGGCTGAGCACCGCGTGTGGGGGGGTGGGGATGGGGGGGATGAGTTTGACCCTTCCCTGTGGGCACCCACACATCCACACCCCACATATGGGATGCTCAGGCTGAGCTGTACCGGGGGGGGGGGGTGGTGGGGGGGGGCATCTCCGTGTGCACCACCTCGTTGTGTCAGGGTGAACGATCCAAGCTTCGAGGGCTGAATGTGACCCCAGTCCTAAAGCCACCTCCTGGATCACTGCAACCCCCCCTCAGAAATACGTAGCAGCTCCAGGAGGGCAGCTCAGCCCTACGGCTCGGGGTGGGGAAGGCGCAGTCGCTGGGCGGTGAGGGCAGGGGGGCGGCGGGGATCCTGAAATCCCTTCCTCAGCCCCAGCTGGTGCCGTACATCACACACGGGCGATGCAAGGAAGAGCCCGTCATTACCACCTCCCAGCAGGGACAGCCTCGCCACGCTCAGCTCCTTCCCACAGCGGGGACCTGCGGCCGCCCCAGCCACCAAACCCGGCACCATGGTGCGCAACGTGGACGACTTTGACTTCTGCCTGCCGTCGCACGCGCAGGGCGTGCTGGAGGGGCTGCAGCGGCTGCGCGCCCACCCCAAGCTGTCGGACGTGACGTTGCTGGCGGGCGGACGGGAGTTCCCCTGCCACCGCGGCGTGCTGGCGCTCTGCAGCCATTACTTCCACGCCATGTTCTCTGGGGACTTCGCCGAGAGCATCGCGGCGCGTGTGGAGCTGAAGGAGGTGGACCCCGGCGCGCTGGAGACGCTGCTGGACTTCGCCTACACGGGGAAGGTGACCATCAACCAGGGCAACGTGGAGGGGCTGATGCGCACCTCCAGCCAGCTGCACTTCCCCACCATCCAGCAGGTGTGCAGCCGCTACCTGCGGCAGCAGATGGATGCCACCAACTGCCTGGGGATCTGTGAGTTTGGCGAGAGCCATGGCTGCCCCGAGGTGTCCTCCAAGGCCTGGTCCTTCTTGCAGGAGAACTTTGAGGCTGTTTCTCAGCAGGAGGAGTTCCTCCAGCTCTCCAAGGAGAGGTTGGCCGTCTACCTCTCCAACGAGCAGCTGCAGGTGCAGGAAGAGCAGAGCGTGGCTGAAGCCGTGCTGCGCTGGGTGCGCTACGACCCGGGGCAGAGGGCCCAATTCCTGCCTGAGCTGCTGGAGCTGGCCCGCCTGGTCTCGCTGCCCGACCACTACCTGCAGAACCTGCTCGCCGCCGAACCCCTTGTCCGTGACTCGGCCGCCAGCCAGGCCTTGGTGGCCCGCTCCCGTGCCATGCTCGGTGCCACCGGCACTGTCCCCACGCCGCCAAAGGCAGCCCCACCACAGAAACTGGAGGAGGTGCTGGTGGTGGTGGGTGGGCGCGTGCTGGAGGAGAGCGAGGACGAGGAGGGGGAGCTGGAAACGCCGGCCACCCCCAGGAACTTCGCCTTCTACAACCCCAAAACGCGTAAGTGCCCACTGCGGTGTGGTCATCATCCCCCAGCTCTTCCCACATGGGATGAGATGGAGAAAAGCAGCTCTCAAACCATCTGGCACCGTGGGGACACAGGGTGAAGGAAGAATGAAATAGGGCTGGCGGAAAGGTGTCACCCTGAGCTGCTGTCCCCACCTCTGATGGTGCAGGTGGGAAGTCCCCAGCCCACACACAGGGTGACAGCATGGCTCTGCTGCCTTGCAGGGCGGTGGATGGCTCTGCCCGACTTCCCTGACTACAACAAGTGGGGCTTCTCTCTGGTGGCACTGAACAATGATGTCTATGTCACTGGTAGGTGCCGGGCAGGGGGTCAGCATCGTCCCAGGGACTGGGGACCCCTATCTGATCAGAAGCTAACTTTGGGTCCTGACCTGTTCCTGTAGGTGGTTCCCGGGGGTCCCGGAATGACACGTGGTCAACAACGCAGGCCTGGCGCTTCTGCCCTAAGGATGGTGTCTGGACAGCCATCACCTCCATGCTGCGAGCGCGGACCAACCACACCAGCGCCGTCCTCAACGGCGAGATCTACGTCCTCGGGGGTAAGGGGATGCTGGGGAACAGGTGGATGGTTGTGGCACGGCACAGAGGGCTGCAGCGTGCTACTGCCCTGCAGGGACGATGGTGGAGGTGGTGGAGGTGGAGCGCTACGACCCCTACAACCAGAGCTGGGCAGCCATCAGCCCAGCCCTCAAATATGTCAGCAACTTCGCCGCTGCTGGCTGCCTGGGCAAGCTGTACCTGGTGGGCTCCTGCGCTGTCAAGTACAACGCGCTCACCCTGCAGTGCTACAACCCTGTGCGAGGTGAGCACCCACCAAACCCCATTGCCAGCCCCAGTGGCGCTCTACAGCAAACCCCTGGGCTGTAGCACTGCCTTTGGTGGGCAGTGTGGGTGCCGATCTATCTCCTTTTAACCCCCCCGAATACCTGGGGCTGCTCCCTGCTCGCCCACTGACGGCTGCCCCTTGCAGATGCATGGAGCGTGATCACGTCCCCATTCATCCCCAAGTACCTGTCGGCCCCGCGCTGCGCCACCCTGCATGGCCTCATCTACCTCATCGGGGACAACACCAAGAAGGTCCACGTCTACGACCCAGAGGCCAACATCTGGCAGAAGGTAGTGCATGCTCCAGGAGCACAGCATCCGCACGGAGTTATGGCTTTAAGCAGAGATCACCCTCGCTTTCCCACGCCACCAGCATGAAACCCCTGCACGTTCCCCCAGCACCCCATCCCCACAGCACACTGTGTGAGCCCACAGCACGGATGCAGCTAAAGCTCAGGTGGGCAGCGGGACCCCAACACTCACCCTTCCCCTGGTGCAGGTGCAGCTCCTGCACATGCTGCATGAGAACGGCGGGATGGTGCCGCTGGGAGATCGGCTCTTCGTCACCGGCGGCCACTGGAAGGGCATGGATGGGGATTACCGGGTGGAGATGGAGGTGTACGACTGCGCCAAGGACCGCTGGGTGCGGGAGGGCTCGCTGCCCTGCCTCTGGCTCTTCCACAGCTCCTCCTCCATCTTCATGGATACCTCCAAGTGGACTGAGGCTTTCCCAGGGGACCAGGGGCGGTAGCAGAGCTGACAGCGGCGGCGTTCCAGGTGCTGGCAGGCTCAACCCCAGCCAGACAGGAAGCTGCTTGGGTTCCCTCTCTCGCCTCACCTCCCACTGCCACCCCATCCCCCTAACCCTACCACAGCCACCAACACCTCACCAACACCTTAAAAAAAAAGTTTTTTTTGCCCTCTGAAAGCCCAAAGCTTTCGGGGTATTTCAAACTTGCTTCCCTCCCACCACCCCCCTTTCCCTGTGACTCTGGGAGCTAGAGTGCCAGAGTGAGCAGGGCAAACCTCCCCAGTGCTGAAGCTGCTCCATGTCAGCTTCCTCTTGCACAGCAACACAGCATGCACACGACCAAGCACCCCAAGGACACGGTCCCACAATGGTGACACAGCTGGCACTTTGTCAGCCCTTTCCTAGCTCTGATGCCCACAGCCCCAGGTTGGGCTGAGCATGAAGCCGCCCCTTTCTCAGAGGCCAATGCAGCCTCCAGCACTCTGCTCTTGGGATGCTGGTATTGTTTGATCAAGTTGTTCCATTCTGATGTTTCACTCATTAAATGTACGCAACCAGTAGCTCTGTGGCCCGCCTGTGTGTCGGGGTGGGGGATCCCTGTGTCGCTCAGGGCCACATACAGGGCTGGTGAGGCACACCCTGCTTGGGAGCAGGACCTCTGCTGCTCTCCCAGGGCCATTTGGAGCACTTCACACTCCAGAACCAAAGCATTTCCTTCCCAGCACCAGAAGGTAGCAAACACAGAGCCCAAGCAGGAGCTCCCGCTGAGCCCCTGGTGCTTGGAGCTCTTCCTAGGCATCATATAAAGCTCGAGGAAACAAACAGTGAAGCTGCAGCATTTGAACAGGTGGCAGTTTGTGCACAAAGATGCCTGCTCTCACCAGCACCTCTACCAAATGGATTTATTTGGTTTGTCAGGACATTCAAGGGGGTGAGGGTTAACAGGACACAAAACTCCCCCAACAAGCTGATCCACTGTAGTAACTGCTTAGAAAACACTGCTAGCCAAGTGAACTAGAACTATTAGAAAAAACCTTTATTTACACTGAGGAGCACGCAGCAGGGCCCTCCCCCCACCACGCACAGACCCACACTGACTCGTCCCATCTTTACATCAGATGGGGGCCTTGCTGCAGCTCCTCCTCTCTCAGTGCTCTATCCGAACAACCATGACTGTCACGTTGTCCGCCGACCCTCGCTGCACCGCCTTGTTGGCCAGTCTGTTACAGGCAGCTTCGTATCTAGCGTCTGCTTCCTGCTTCCCTTCTCTTTTCTGGATGTTCTTATCCTATTGGGATGAGAGAAAGACAACACAGATTGCTCCCAGCAAAGCACAGCAGTGCAGGCACGTGGTTATTTCTGAGCACAGGGAAGCAAACTAAATAAGGACAAGCA